TAAGTAAATCATCTTTTAAAATGAGGAATGGTCGACATGTTGGGGTAATGGAAATGAGGATTGGTAATTTCAGTCATCATATGCACTTTAATTACTTCAGAGCAGGGAATTTTAGTAATTCACCTACATAATCATACAGTCTGAAAAAAAAGACAATTTCTTTTCCGCGTATTACTGAACAATTGAACTATTTGCGTAAGACCATGGTTACCTCTGATGAAAGATTCGTATTGGTGCGGACTATTGCAACATTTGCGATATCACAAACTTCACTAAACATTCGTGGTTGGCCAATATCAGAGATTGCGATGATTTAATCAATATTTTCAAAAAATCGAGATTATCTATGTGTAGTCTTAACGCAAAGCCAAAAGTGTCTTAGCTTAACTTTATTTTTTTTAATTCTTACATTCAGATCTACATTCGGATACTCGAGAGCATGGTTTACTCATATTCTACTCCCAATTTCATGCAGTTGTGTTTGTAGATAACTCTAAATAGGTTCGCTGGTAATTATTGTGGCAGGTTCAGTTATTAGGTGAAAATAACATATTAAAACTTCCTATAAATGTGGCGGAGTTACAGCGGTGTCAGACACGTTCAGAACATGCCGTAGATTGGCTCAGCAGCAACATTGAAATTGCATCAAACTTCAGTGCACGCCAAGCTCAACTGGAATGAATAAGTGTTATCGTTTTTTTATTGTCCTTTTTTCGGCACAATGGCTGACAAACCAGTTGAGAGTGCTTTAAGAGTTATTTTGGTTGTTTATTAATGCAAATTGGTAGTTCAAATTATTCGTGTATTGTATTATTTCAAACGCGCAGATGTGTACTGTTGAGCTCATGAACCCAAGGTGTGGAAGGCTCCACATTCGGATGTTTTTTTATATAATTATATATATTTTTACAATATATAAATTTTAACGATGAGGAATAAATTTGCAATGTAATTAGAAATATTCCCTCAAAAAATTGCATACAAATTTTTTGTACTTAGGAGAAATTTGCTCGGGTTGGTGCTGCTTTTGTGAGAATATTAACTCGTCCGTTGAACGTTACACTCTGTTTCTCTAAGCGAGCAACGCAATTCTAGAAAAATGTTCTGTACACGAGTGTACCTAATCAAGAGAATGAAGTTCCATCTTCACTGTTACAAGTGTCAGATGGCCGCTAGTTTTGTTATCGATAGTTTCCAAACGATATACATATGAAAAATGATAGCGCGGCAGCTGACGACTTGAACTTGCTTCTTGACCGAGAAACCCCAATTTTTAGTTCAACTAATGACCACAAGTTTTGATGCTGACTGTACTTCAACAAAACCTGTGACAATACAGAAGCTCGTTGTTAGAGCAACAGCCCCTGGCGGCAATAATGAATAACCGATTGGCGACAGTGGCGATCTAACTTTCGGCGATTGTCCATCGACGATAATCGAACTGATTCCGATTAGTCGTAGGTTGAAATTTCAATTGACATGGCTTCTCATTCATCGTCGTCAATTGTGATTTTTGTGGACATGTCATCTTATATGTCATCTAATGAGGCCGAAAGTGCTGGAGCTTCTGAAGAATCATCAGGACTCGCTCCAAAAAGACCCCTGCAGAAAAAGTTCAAGGGGAAGATGATATTAATTAAGATGTCTCACCAGAACCCAGCCCTCCTAGTTCTAGCAAGGAGGTGGCGAAAGTTACCAAGCTGTGCAGAAAGAACAGTAAAGATTCATTTACTTGTCTTCTAATAAATAGGATAGGTCATATGCATAGGACGTTTCCACATGACAATAGGGCATGTGCATAGCAAGTTTTGCTATTTATTTTTATTTTTGTCTTCGTTACTGTTAAACCAAGGAGACGCTATTAAAAGGGCAAAAGTTTTCAATTACTTGATTAAGGAATGGAAGCTCAGAATAAAGTTTTACAAATAAGCAATTTAATTTTAATTTGAAGTTCAAATAAAACTTATCATCGGAATCTTTTGTTTCAATTCAAAATATTCTTTTCCATCGTGAAGTACAGAAACCTTATGGCGCCATCATCTTTAAATCAGGACGATACTTTTCAGTGGTTACGGTATTAAGGTAATATTTTTGAGGCTTTTCCTCCCAAGTCTACTGTAGTTATTGCTTGCTGGGCGCGCACCAGTGGTTTGGTTTCTAATTCATGTTTAATTAACTGAAAGATTTGCTTCAACACATTTCACAATCGAAGAAGCATCTGCCAGTGCTTATTTTTGGAACTCAAAAGAAATCGGAAGTTTGTGTCGTATATCCTGCGGAGCCATTTTCTCGGCAAAACTAGAGCGTCAGGTCTCGCAACAACAATAGACTGAGGAGAGGGAAAAATTTTACCGATTATTGAGTTGCCCTTCCATATACGGTCAAACCTGTCTCTCGCATCCGTCCTTGCCATGTTTGTCAAACCTGTAAACAGTCAAGCAAGACGTCAAACTTAGCGTCCACACGCAGTCTTGTCTATCAGACTTGGCATGACGCGGAGGACTGATGATTTGCAGAGGTGGGCAGCAGCGCGCTACATGTAGCGGCCGCTACATTTTCAGTAGCGGTAGTGGTAGCGGCGCTACATTTAAGCCATTGTAGCTGTAGCGGTAGCACCCGCTACATATAATACATACATAATATAAATTACAGAATAAAACTGTACGAAAGATTTCGGTGTAATGTTGTCAACATCAGCCTGTTACTAGAGTCAACATGTTAGTTATCTTAAATGTAGCGCCGCTACCGCTACTGAAAATGTAACGGCCGCTACATGTAGCGCGCTACTGCCCCCCTCTGGATATGGTGCTAGCCATTTCAAATCTGAACATATATTTTTCCATAGCTTTATCTAGTCTGTTCTCGTGAAGAAAAAACGAGGGGAAGAGAAATTCAAGAGAACTTCTGGCTGACTACTGGCCGGCGCTTCTCCGCTTTTGATTTTGAAACGTGAGAGCTATGCGGTAGGCATGATAGCGAGTCCGTGGTTCTAATTAATGATTCACTGCAGTAGTATATACTGGAATCTCTCGCATTAATGAGCAGTCTTCTCTATCATGATCGAGTCTTCTGATTGACATATTTTTGCACATTGAAACTTAATACTTGAACCTGACTTATGATTCATGTGACTATTAGATGTGCATTTTCTTAAATTTGAACAATTATACAAGAATCCCATCGATATTACAAGTTTAAATGAACTTCAACTACAATTGAAATAATCTTGAAATCAGGATAATTTCTTCCTCTGCCAAAAATCCGAGTCAACATTCATCCATAGAGGATATAGTCATAGCAATAATGTCAGCGTTCATTGGGCTAAATATGGCCTGTCGTCGATTCAATATATCGCAAATCAACATTCATCCATAGAGGATATAATAATCATAGCAATTATGTCAGCGTTCATTGGGCTAAATATGGCCTGTCGTCGATTCAATACATGTATATCGCAAAATTCTCGCAGCTTGTTGGACTTCCAACCCGCAACTCACTGCTCCTATCATGTTGTTCTCAACCAACCTGTCAACTTGTCGGTTCTCACCAGAACTGTCACAGAAAGCTGTATTTAGCCCACAACTTATAGCTTCAATCCTGGTACTCTGAACTGCGACCACTAGGCACCCTGCTGAGTGGTTATGTTCCTAAATATAAGTGTGACAGTTATTATTATCGGGACACTATCATGCAAATGTTCAAAATTAGTTGGTGCGGAGCCCAACAGAGCTTGACCACATTGATAGCCTTTGCTGGTTTTAGGAATAACCTTCTCACCAGAGGGGATTATAGGTGCTAACGTACGAAATAGTGTGACCCAGTTTCTAAACATTGCTTAGACGTTGTAACGCAAAAAAATGCTATCAAAAGGATTTCTAGTCTAGTCATCATCTTTAAAATAAAAAATGTAAACATACCCGAACAAATACTTTTCTTTGTCAATATGTTATACGTAACTTTTCATAATCATATCTAGAATTCCACTCCGGAACTTCAAACAGTTCGAGCCGAGTAAAGCACAATTTACATACTTATTTTGCAGTTGACTTATCCTGGGAAAAAATTTAATCTAAGGTGTAATACAGACGGCCAAAAGGGAGGATTGTAACAAGTGGGTATGTATAAAGAAAATGGAATAAAAAGAACGTTTCACAACCTATTGTATAATGTTATTTAATATCGATTACTTGATTATAAAATTATCGTCGACAGCAAGATATGTTAATTATCTTGTCATCTACATAATTAACGTCCCAATGATGCCTAAAATAAGTAAAAATAAGGCCATTTAATTAACACGAAACAAGTAGAACAAATGTGCAGGCGTAATATATTTCAAGTCATAATAACAATATAATCTTCACAATATAAGGATATAAGCTTGCAGCTAAGCAGCTTACACCATAGGACCTGAAGATAACAATGAACATTAGCTGTTAAAAGGCAAACTCTTCACATAGCTGTCAATTTGTTTTTTTTTTGTTGATACACAAATCTCTGCTGTGGTTTACAAAATCCTATTAAAGAGCGTGTAGATCCCTACTTGGAACTCGTGTTCGTCTGCCGTTGAAAGCATGTTTTTTTCGCACGAAAAATGGCGCATATTAAAAACTTATTTGAAGGTAAAATCCATCACAATTCAAGTACCTATTTACATAACTCAAGTACCTACCAAATATTTATTGCTACTTGAAATACAAAATTCTTCATTGAGAGCATACAACACAAATTTAAATATTGTAAATCGTAGATCACGCGTTAATAGCTTAATTTGATTGTCATGACTGGATTTAATTAACGAGATGGAAATAACGCCTGTATTAGCCTTATTTACAGTTGCTATAGCGTAACATTGTATCTCCGACTAATATATAGGTGTTTAAACTCAGGAAAATATGGCCTAGACTACTGAATGTAGTATATATATATATATGGTCGTTGTCTAAACTTATTAACTATTGAACAAGCACATCAGACGACTAGCTGTCATACAAAATAATATTTACCCGTGTAGTCGCTCAACAAATAAAATAAAATAAAAATGGAGATCACAACTCTAATAGAATTTTCAGTCATGATGACGAGTAGACAACATTTGAAGTGTTATAGTTGCTTGTGACATGAATGTTCACGTGCGCCGTTGTGAGCTTCATCTTTGCATGTTGCACCAACAGTCACTTCACTTGATTCATACACCACTGCTCCCACATGCTGGTCCTGTTGAGATAATTGCCAATTAATTCACGATAATTATCGAGAGATAAGGTTCATTTGAAATATCAACACATATGATCAGTACAAATCATCCGCTTCAACTGGCAGATACAAATTATACTAGCATAATGTAATGATACTATCATAATACAAATCATAATCATGATACTATCATAATACGAATGATACTATCATGATGGAGGCGTGTTCAGACACGACAAGCATGATGCATCAAACTGTCATCAAGGGAAAAACAGTCCATTAAGTGTCATCTATAATAATTGATCAAGCTCAGCGGCTGAATCACTAATAAAACGAACGATACATAAAAATATTCCTTTACAAAATGAACAGATGTGAAAAAAACTTGAGGTCACTGCCGACAAAATGAAACAAACTGTGAGAACAAATCTTCCGAAACGACACCGAACATAAGAGTTTCAGACTCCTAGATTAATGTCGAGAAACAGAAGAAGCGGAAGGGAATTACAAGGATATACGGTAGGTATATGAGTAGAATAAATTAGAAAGATATAATAGATGGGAAAGCAAGCAGGTGGAGATGAAAAAAAGAAGCAAATAAAGTAAATATTAGTGAAGGAAGCATAAGAAGTGCATGAAGCAAATAAAAAGAAGAAAAAAAATATAACTCAGTACTCACTGCCGTGAGTGACAGAGAGCGCATTTTCCCGTCGACGAAAACGTGAAGTCACGGACAGACAGACAGACAGACGGACGGACGGACAGGGCGAGATCAATAATGCCTTTTTTTCATAAATGAGAAAATGCGCTAAAAAGAAGAAGGAAATAAAGTAAATATTAGTGAAGTAAGCATGAGAAGAGAGCAGTACGTACGTAGTGCTTCATGTGAGAGAGGAAGACGTCCCACAGCACGGTGACGGCGTTGACGTAGAGCACGCGGTACTGTGTCGGCACGTAGAGGAAGTTGATGGCTTGGGAAGGCGGCCAGATTATCCAGTCAAACTTTTCAGGCAATCAAAATAATTAAATTAAACATAAATAGGAAGGCGGCCAGATTATCCAGTCAAACTTTTCAGGGAATCAAAATAATTAAAGTAAACATAAATAGGAAGGCGGCCAGATTATCCAGTCATATAACATTAAGAGCAATAAAAAGCAACATTAAGAGCAATAAAGAGCAACATTCAAACGATAAGTGAGAGCAGAGCTAACCATGTACACAGCAGGAAACTTGGTCTTGAACTCCTGCCAAGCGCTTGGCAGGTCTTTGCCCTCCAGCAGCCCGGCCATCAGGAAGAAAGTGACCGCAAAAAACGGAGCCGCTATGAACTGATCCATTAGGATTTTCTTGAACACAGTCTTGGCAGTCTTCTGGGGTAGCAACTGCAAGGAATAGGATAACATTAAAAATTAAACATTGAAACTGCAAAAATAGCATAAGGTTCCCATTAAAATTAAACATGAAAGTTACAGTAACTTTGATAGTTAATGTTAATAAAAGTTAAAGTTACATTAAAATTAAAGTTGCTATTTTTCAGACTTGGCTACAAGTTTCTAAGTAATATAAAATGATAAAATTATCTTTCAGAAATTATTTTCAGAATATTCATCATTATTGAAGAGTAAAGCAGCAACGTTATAGTAAATTTAGACTCGGCAAGAGGAAATATATTTATTAACCCAGAACAATTTTGTTTTTGTTTAAAAAAAATTATGACATTAATACAGAATGTAATTACAATCATTTTAGATCATATATTATGAATTTAGATAATCCTGTTATTCCTGTAGGTAGCATTTTATTTACATCCAAGAATACCATATACTGTACGCATAATATGTAATTAACAAAAATTTATTTGTGTATTTGTGATTTGGAACAATATTTGTTACATATAAAATCAACTTGCACTGGAAAGAATCATTCTTTTTCAACATACACCAACAGAAGCTTCAGATAAATGAAAATTATAGGAATAATTTCCTATAATTAGGAATAATAAATAATATAGGAATAATAATAATAATATAATAATTATAATAATTATTATAGGTATTATATATAATAATTTCCATAGTTTTGAGTTTTTACTTCTCGTAAGTTTTAATACTTTTAGACTTCATAGTCGTTTTAGTACATTTCTTCAAACTTAGTTGTTGAGGGAGCTGATGTGCTAGAAAGTATCTGATGTATACACTAAGAATTCTTTAAGTAATGGCCCTTACTTCTGGTCCACAAATTAATTTATACTGAAAATGTCATAACCAAGTTGATAGACATCAGTGCTTTGCAAGGACCCCTGACGGTTCACCTGCAATACTTCTGATACATTCTCACTACCATACTGACCTGACAAACCTGCTCATAACCTCACTTGCTGCCTAACTTTCCTCTCATGTTGGCATGATACTTATAATTGACCTAAAGTCCTAAACCCTAAATGTAACTTTATTTAAATTACTTATATAAAATTTAATGACAAACTTGTCTGCCAAGTTAATCAACAAAGGTCTATTCTTGGTTTCTCATCAATAATATCCTATTTGACCAAGTTAATCTTGTATAGGCCCTTAGCTTCATCAAGCTGCATGAATATTTTGTTCATGTTTGGTTATTGCACTTGCACTCATTTATTTTGTTATTTTATCTCAACTTACTTTATCATGGCCCAGTATTGCAAACTTACTCTTAATCATGAAATTCTGGCAAGTGCCAAAAATCAACAATATTTTGTCAGCTACTCTACTATGGTATTTCTTCAGTAAAGCTTATCCCATTGTTCACCAGCTCAAGGCTGTCTTATCCAACATATTTGCCAACTTTCATATTTCATCTCCTTGCCAAATTTTTTCTTTATATTTTTTTGCTTTTTAATATTTCTTGTGCAAAGTTCTATAGAATATGTTATTTTATAATTTTATACTATGACCACCAAACAACTCTTGCCCTTTAGTTTAAACTGACCCCAAAGAAGTTTAGTAAAACTTTTTGAACAATATTTTTTACTTTCATCAGAACATCCATAAACCTAAGTACCTGGATGTTTCAGATAATTACAATTAATTTAGGCATGTCATATTAAAAGTTATCTAAATGAAAATTAATTTTTAGTAATTATAATTCAACTTCTCAACTTCAACTTTGAATTTGTAGATTTTGAATAGTCATTGGACAGAATTACAGAAATGTTCAGAAAAGTACAATTACAACAAAAATCCTTTTTATCATATGTTCATCACAAACTCTACTTTTTCATACTTTAAAATAATGAAATTGACCTTGTCAAGCCAGAGGTAGAATATGTGATGAGGAGGTCCTTGTGAGAGCCCCACAACAAATAGTCGACCTGTGCGTGGCCAGTCATGGTAGGCATGCACACCACGAACTCGCTCAGCCTGAAATTATGATATTAGATAACACCATAGATTTTTCACAAAAGAATGTAATATCAAAGGAAAAAAAGAGTTTTCAATTCACTTTGGATTGATAATTAGCTAGAGAAGGGCTCAATTATTTTGGAATCTTTATATGAAAAAATTAGATAAAAAAATATGAAAAAACACCAAGTTTCTTTATTAAACAAAGAACATATAACCATTGAGGAAAATTTAATATGTCAAATACATGAAGCTAAACACACAGTAATCAGTATCAGTTTTTAAACTGCTAGTAATATTTTAAATATATTAAGACATTGTCTATTACAACTTCTCCATAATGTTTGCATAGAAAAACAGTTGGATATAAAAAAAAAACAATGGAATACTAGGCTACTAGCAAATCATAATATACAGATGGCTACATACTCAGGCAGTCTTTTCCATGCTCTTCATTCTTCACCATCAATTTTAGCTATTCAAAAACATTGAGTTCAACGCATGAATAAATTATTATATTTCTAATATGATTTATTGTTAGATCCAATGTCATGACATCTAAATCTTTAATATTTAGCAATTTGGGATATTGCATCAATTTGTGATAATCTGATAACCTGTGAAAAAATAAATGCCACAGCATTTACTCTTACTCACATAATTAATATAGGGGGGCGGGGAGGTTTGTAATTATGGTCTAGGAACTATTGAACTAACCTGCTGCTGGATGACGTCACCAACAGCAAAGAGGGTTCCACACGTCAAAGTGTTGGTCACCCAGAGATTTTTGTGAGAAAAGCAAGTTTGCCAGATAATTTTAGCAGACTTAGCCAGTTTAGAGACATTTTTCATTTCTAAATAATGAAATGAATCAACTCCACACAAGGGCTATCATCCGGCTATGTCAGCTCATTCTCAAATAAAATGAAGACATCTGGAACAAATATAAATGTGAATATGGTACTAATTAAGGGTCTCAAAGCATGAGACCATTTTAATTGGGTCACTTTAACATAAAAAGATGATAAAAACATACCTGAAACAGAAAGGAATATTTTAGTGACAACTGTTGTCACTAAAATATTCCTTTCTGTTTCAGGTATGTTTTTATCATCTTTTTATGTTAAAGTGACCCAATTAAAATGGTCTCATGCTTTGAGACCCTTAATTAGTACCATATTCACATACGAGGTTTGGGAATTTGTAAATTATTTTGATTATTCAACTTGTCTTTGAAAATGAGTTAAATAAAGACGTTAAGGGAGGAAGGGATCGGATTAAAAATATATATTGAAAATATTCACAAATGAAAGGTCACATAATGCTAAATGGCAGCTAAGTATTTCGCATTACTCCCATAAAATCCGAGTCAAATATCCAGAAATTCAGCATAATACAATAAGGCAAGAGACCTATACCATATATACATCTCGAAAATTTGAAAAATGTGAAATTGCAAGCTAATCACATTATCACACTCTTAGTTCAACAACTTCTTTATAGTTTAATTTTCACCGCTTTCATGCCAGAGCTCACATGATTTTTCTTGGATTTTTGTATGAAATTTTAACTCTCCTACAACAGTATTAACGTTTTTGCCTATCTAATGTTAGCAATCAAACGCATGGAATCAGAAATATTTGGAGTAATGAATAAATACTTCCAAATATTCTACAGGCAAGACGTCAGAGTTCAGACGACATGTAGGCCTATGTCAAAATGCATTTAATTTGCATTGGAAAAACACTGATTTCGCACAAAGTTTGCGTAGTAATATTAACGATAATTATCTTATTTAAATTATTGAACTTACTTATGATCGCCTGCGATAAATCTGCAAGGACTGCGTGCTCAGATGACTGCGCTCCGGAACTACTCCTCACAGACTCACAGTGACATCTATGTTTCTGTTCTGTTCTTCGGTAGGTTAACGGAGTGCTGCGCGTTGGACGATTCACTCCGGAAGCAGCAGTTTGTCAACGGTTAGGGGTCAAAGCGGTGAGTTGAACTGATGAAGTTTTCCACGGCTCTGCAGGTCTGGGGCCAGGTAGGGCTGCTGGTGGTATCTCCTCCCAGTAGGGTTCCAAGACTGAGTATAAGTATCCCCTGGGAGTTTATCTGACGTCGCAGTTGGGAGCGGGCTTCAGCGTACTCTGTGCAGACTATGAGATAGTGATGTGCTGTTTCTGGCACTTGGCACGAAGGGCAGAGTGGTGATGGGGCTTGGCGAATCTTCTGGGTTTCAGATTTCACACCGAGAACTTTGGTTGTTCAGCGATAGCACCACACGTCTTGTCACCATGAACGAACAAACGAAAAAAAACCAGTGACATCTATCAAGCGACTGACAGCCAATCTGCCATCGTAAGTTCACAACCTGCAGCTAGGCTGCTAATGGCAGACAGGGTGCTATCGAGTCCCAACTCGGCATTCGACAACTTAACAGCTAATACGGACATAATTATTACTGGGATACATACTGAGCTAAGCCTCCTAAAGCGGCGATTAAACTTTGACAACTAAATCGACAATAATTCGGTATAAATTGTCTACGTTTTCTATGTGATTCTGATTGGGTTATTGAAAAGTAACTTCTCCGAGACCTGAGGTGGTCCGAGAGTGCCGGACAAGCCGACGCCAGCCAACTGTCAAGAAAATTTTCCCATGTAAATCACCGTCCAGACGCTTATGTATATGTATATATGGGACGAATTTTTGTAATATATTTTTGTGGCAAATTTTCATAGCACGTTCTCCACGGATAACTTTGTGAATTCAAAACTGGTCTTTACCGAATTGAAAATGAAGCTATTTATTTGGAATACGCTCATGCGAGCGTTGTCAAAATTTTCTTTTTGGTTAGCTTTTAGTTTAAATTAGAAGGCTTATAAAATACTTAGTTTTAGTATGTTTTTCAGGCATACGTTTTTCAAATTGAAACTCTTCTTAGTATAATAAGCTTTTTACAATACACTTTTGCAAACGTCATCAGAAAACAATGTAAGCTACATTAGTTAGACGTGCAACTTGAGTGAAAATTTCAAACACTCGCAGGAGTGTGTAGTAAATAAATAGCTTTGTTATAATTACTTCAAGATAGTTTCCGATTTTAAAAACTTATACAGTGGAACAGGTGCTATAACTTGGCGTTAGGCGTGCACTTTACGAGAAGAGGGAGAAAAAAATTCTGACAACTCTGGCAAGAGCACCGGTCGGACAAAAGCGCGTGGGCGTTAGCGTCGGTTACAGCGTGGGCCAGCCCGGCCCTGAACCTGCCCGAAACCAGCTCTCCCTTTAGCCACGTTTTATTACCTCAATTCGTAACCAATATTTATTAAATTTAATACATGGTTTCACATGCTTATTGCGCAGTCGCGACGATTTTTTTTATAATTTTAACCCATCTCCTTTGTAAATAAAACGGTAAAACGGGTGCAAACGGGCAAATTCCGTCACGTAGCCACGTTTTATTCCCTCAATTCGTAACCAATAATTATGAAATTTAATACATGGTTTCACATGCTTATTGCGCAGTCGCGACGATTTTTTTTATAATTTTCAATAAGCATGTGAAACGATGTATTAAATTTCATAATTATTGGTAACGAATTGAGGGAATAAAACGTGGCTACGTGACGGAATTTGCCCGTTTGCACCCGTTTTACCGTTTTATTTGCAAAGTAGATGAGTTAAAATTATAAAAAAAATCGTCGCGACTGCGCAATAAGCATGTGAAAGCATATATAAAATTTCATAATTATTGGTTACGAATTGAGGGAATAAAACGTGGCTAAAGGGAGAGCTGGTATAGGGCAGGTTCAGGGCCGGGCTGGCCCACGCTGTAACCCACGCTAACGCCCACGCGCTTTTGTCCGACCGGTCTCTTGACTTGACTTGACAACTTAGACGCTTGAGGCCTTTCTCAGAGACCTGTTCGTCTCTCCGAGACTATACTAACTTTGTAATATTAGCAAAATTCGGGGGCGGCTGGGTTGCAAAAAAAAAGTCAGTGTCTAGTTCTGGCATGATGGAGCATAGAGAGTAGGCAGATGAAGCCAATGTTTATCGAGGCGACTCTTGAAAGTATCCACAGATGGTGCTTTGACGACATTCTCTGGCAAGCTGTTCCAGTTTGTGACAATGCGCTGAGAGAAAAAGTTACCTCTAATGTTCAGTCTGAAGTGGCTCTTTTGGATTTTTAGAGAATTTCCGCGGAGGTCTCTCGCTGTAGCCATTGCAAAACTGAGGTGGTCTCCGAATGCACCTGTAGACTCGAGCAACTTGTCTAATCATGGCTCCTCCAATTATGAACGGTTCTGCTAGAAATTTAAACTATAATTAGTCATTAGCAATGCGGTCATTGACAAACTTATGATTGGATCTGATTTTACTAAGTTATGCGTGGAAAACCTGCTATGGAAATTTTATCCCAAAAATTCGGCCCATAAGCGAACTGAATCGACAATCGAGGAGTGATTCATATGCATCAAGTTCGTTAAAAGAAATGCAAACAGAGGTTCAAAGATCATAAGGATTAATTCTTTCTTGTGTTTAATTAAAAATTATTCAGGGTTTAGGCCAAATCGATAAAGTATACGAGGTTTTAACATTGAAATATTGGTTAGATTGAACTACATAGAAGCTGATTGAAGACCTAACGTTGCTTCTATACAAACTCAACACGTAATCTGAATCATCTAAATTTGTTGTATTCAAGTTTGGTAAAGATTGGTTAGGCGCACAAATTAATAAATTAAATATTTAAGATCAGTGCGCTTTTATTCGATTTATTATTTCATACTTTTCGTTACGTCTGTTATACGTATAGAGGTTGTTGTTGTGAGAGTACCGTATGTTCTGCCGTTTATTGGTATAAATTTGAGAACTGGAGGTTTGTTAGACAAATTATTACAGGGTTAGAATCGAATGGTTGCAAATTACCGGTTGTTGACGTTATTTATTTGAGAATAAATTTCCATCTGAAATTTGTGCAATTGTTAATGGAGTCATTGGAGTGTTTGAATGAGAACTCACACTCAGTGAGAAGTTGAATCGTGAGACGAGAGAGAGAGATGGAATAGGCTAATGGAATTAGGTGCAGAACGGCAGAATTAAGAAGTTAAATTTGGATTTAAAAGTGGAATTTAAACAATTTGAAGTGGAATACAATTTAAAGTGGAATAACGTTACGACTTCCATGAAGATCAGGCATTTCATAATTTCTTATACTAGGCTATACTGTAAATAACACCGTCTGCGTCTTGCATAATGCATATAATTCCGGTCTCCGGACATAGTGGGTTTTAGTGGCAAATCAGAGCTTTTTTGGAAGTTCATTTTTAACACGTTTTTCTTAACTTAGCTTTGCATTTGTGTTTGTTTGTTTGTGGATTTGTTTGTTGTTAACATTGACAACAATTAACAAAAATTAGCCCACTTCTGATTTCTCTAGAGATGATAAGACATAAGAGATCTGAAATTTGGCATGCAGGGTATTTTCGCCTAACAAATTCAGATACAATCATAAAAATTAGCAATTAGAGTTTAGAGACCTGAATTAGCTTAGGCTAATTGAGTAAAATATATATATATATATATATAGTATGGTGGTCCCCTGGCCTGACGGGACACATAGTGGCATGGTGGCAATCCATAGGTTATTCAAAAGAACCTGTTCTTATGTCATTTTGAACCGATCAACGCTTCTTTACGGACCGATCGTAAAACACCTTCACCGGCAAAAGCTTTTGCACTTCTGAAGAAAGTCAGCTGACAGCTACACTGGCCGTGGGGCGTGGTGGACCTCGTGGGTAATTCCGTCACCTCTCTAGTTTTTCCTTTATATTAAGCTTTGTTTTAGTTCCATGCGTTTGTTGATGGTTGAAATGGTGACATCATACATTTGCGCGTCAAACTACTGCCAAAACACTAGGTCTTGCCGTCTTGGCCATCTAGCGGGAAAATATTGAGATCCAAAGAGAGACAATGCACGCTACCCAGTGAGATCATCGAAAAATGTGTCAAATTTGACAGTTGACCTCAATCACTTGACCTTGCTCTACCAAATAGTGAATAACTGTTTGTATAGGAAGAATATTATGGTTTGAGACTTTTAAATACGTATGTGAATATATTAGGAATCCTTTAAGTATACTTGTATTTGCTGATTTCAAGTGGTAAATAAATTAATAGATGATTAAGTTGAGAAATGGATTTAGACACATGAAAACTAATTCCGTCACAAGTTGAATTGGACACACACAGATCGTTCCAAGCTATGTACAAAAATTGAAATTTGCTTAATTAAAAGCTTAATAGTTGTTAATTAAAAGCGTAATTAAGTAGTGTTCAACATGGTGGCAATCTAGGAATTGGGGAAACCTCTATTTGGACTCGTTCACTTTTAATCACTTCACTCGTTCACTTTTCATCATTTGAAATACCACTTCTGTAAGTCTTGTAATCTGTTAGTACGTAAATTTGCACGACGAATGGAATAGCTCCTTATTAAAAGTTCATTATTAAATGATACACTAAACGACTACAAATTCTTGACCTGGTCTATATCGAATTACTGCAAAATGTACCGTCAACCGGGGCTACTCGGAACAGATTTGATTGTTTTTTTTTTGTTAATAACTGTTAATAAACTTATTAGGATGAAGCATTTCATAAACAAATTTAAGCTCATTTTATAGCTCTTTGCCAGGGCTATCGAATGGCATTGTCAGAAAAATTCCATATGCTATTCCTAAGGTGCCAGACGCAAAATAAAGATTGTCCTGAGTAGCCCTGTCGGTCAGGGCTACTCAGGACAATGGGAATAAAACTTCATTTTAAAACATTTGAAGCATGCAGAGCATACTCATCCATTACTAACAGTACTCTG